CTTTATTATTGTTGTATTATTGTGTTTGTGCATATATTGTGGCACTATGCCAATTGTACTGTTGGCTGTGTTCAGTATATATATATATATATATATATATATATATATATATATATATATATATATATATATATATATATATATATATATATATATATATATATATATATATATATATATATATATACAGGAGCTATAGGAGCTTCTCAGCTAGAATAGGACATTACCGAAATCTGTGCATTCAAAAATGCTGAGTTCGGCGTCGACCCAAGGTAGGGCTGTGCATAGACCAGGTATTCGAGAACGGAATATCGGCTGAGCCTCAGGAGAGGAAATTAACACAGCACAGGCACCTGCTTATGGGGTCAAGGTCAGACTGGTGTAAGCTATGAGTCAGTTTAGCCGAGTAGCACCACGGATGAACTAAGAGGCAGACCGACCTAGGTTCGAGAGCCAGTCGAAAACAAGGAAGTCAAATTGCACCGTCGTGATACGGAAAGTCTTGTGAGTGAGATACCTCACAGTGGGACAGAGCAGTGCATCTGCCAAGTCAGCTGCACGCGAATCTGGCAGGTACCGGGGACGGATTGGAACGGTGTCATGACCGAGCCAATATAGGAATTATGCACTTCCATCGATCAGGTTGTTCGTGCAATAAAATGAAATTGCGGGAGCAGAAGTGACGATTGGCTCACAGTAGGTCATTTTAGTTGCACACGCCTTGCGCCCCCCTCCCCCAAATCGAGGCGGTATCTTCAATGCGTAATATCGAACAGATTGTAAGCAGTTACTGAACTTATCCGGAATTGCCTGAGGCTCAGCTCCTGTCAACAAGCGTTGTTACCATACACGGAAAGTGTCACTTTGACTGGTGACGAGACACCCGCAACCAGAGTATTCAGCTCATTGAGTAAATCAACACCGATGTTGTTTGCAGGGTTTTGGAACACCCGCCGTGTGCCTTGGATTGCAGGGATGGGAGAGGGCTACACCGAAACCTAACACAGATTTCTCCCATTGCTTAGCACTATCAAAAACTTCCAGTACTTCATGTCGTGTGGTGTTCGGTTAGTAAGATGTGTTTACAAAGCCATCTCTGGTGGAACAATATAATGTCGAAATGAGAATCGTCTTCAATTAAAGGCCACAGTAATCAACGCCACATAGCTTGGACCTTGATTCCTACTGTCAGCTACTCAAGTCAAGTCAAAAAAAGCTTTATTCACATACATGTGGACACTGTTTCAGAACTTCCCACTAACATTGCGGAATATAATACAACAAATGCGTTAGTGAGAAAGTGAAAGCTTATGGCAAGAAAAAGATGCGTCCGTAACCAAGCATATGTGGGCGATATTTCATTTCTGATTGGTCGATTAGTAAGCAGGATGGTTTCCATGTGACGAGGTACGAGAATATTTGAAATCCGGGGAAGGTAACAAGGGAATAGCATAGCCAGTGAGAGAGTATACATGCAGTCACAAACCTTGGAATTAAAGCGCGGGGAAGGGAAAGCACTTTAAACTTGAGGGCTCATAAAGAGAACCTACTAGGTTTTTTAAAGTTCCAAGAATATGTGTAAGACAAATTGTGAGACAAGAGAACTCCGAGATATTTTATGGTAGAGGAAAGAGGTATGGTTTTATCATTCATAACCCCATCGCGAGGAGGCCGGACCCTGCCGTAGTGCGATGGTTTGTGTGCCTCAGCGATGCATTGAGCTGTGATGGGTGGTGCTTTCCGCACTTTCAGAGCCAATGGCCAATGGTTGGAGTGAGGGTGGTCCCTTGCTCCATAAAACGGACTCTCTATAGCTCAGCGCCAAAATCTTGCTGGGTTTTTGAACCAAAAACCTTGGTTGAGAACTGTAATCGTTCTTCTGCCTAGATCTGGGCAACCTGACAGTATCGTGCCCACACAATACAACACCATGACTGTGTCATTTAACAATCTCGTGACGCTCTGGCTGTCGCAGAGGATAATCAACGACGCCCTATCTGCTACACCGAGCAGAGTGGATAGAGATTTGGATGCTACTGTTCAGGCCTTCCCGTCCTCTTAGTCCTCCTCGTGCACGTTTTCATCCCGTGTCCCGCTCCAACTTCACTTTTATCCCCCGTTTTCAATTCTCGGCCTCCTCCATCTTGCTTCAACAGTCGCGCGCTTCTACTATCAACTCATACACAATCGAATGGCATCGTTCCTGTCCAGTTGACAAGTCCATATTCAATCGAGCGGACGTCAGTTCATCCGTTTCCCTTCGGAGTCCTCGATCTTCTCTAAGACTGGCATACACATCCCGACTGCCTGGCTGGGGTCCGAAGGACGATTAACACGTTGGGTTGGACACAATTGCTGATATGGCTATGAGCCGATCCCAATGGCGCTTGTGTTGTGAGTTCCTTTGTCCCTCCCCCCTCCTTTAGATTCCTCCTCTAATTACGATCCCATTGCAAACGCATACCATAATATTTAACATTATACTACTTGACTCTCGAATTCTTTGTAGTGTAATGTATTGCGGCACATTAGCTGAGATGTGTATTGATGAAGATGTCATCCACAACCATGGAAGGGAAGATACGTACAAGGGATGTAGTCTCTCGGGAGGCAGAAAACAACATCAGGTCACAATACTTGGAAGTTGTGATGGACCGAGAGCTAGACAAAATCACTAGTTCGTCTAATTCTTGTTGGAGTTTCAGTATCCTCGACAATTGGGACTATGCAGTCTAGGACGATGTCATCATCATATTTACAGTCAATGAAGTTCGATGTAATGGAGGCACTCTCGACATACACGGAGAGTAGAAAAGGGAAAAGAATGGCGCTCTGCAAAACACCACAGCTGGTAAGGAGAGCGGAAGACCCTCTGCTGCATAGCTGTGTGAAGTGTGTGCGGTTGGTGTTAGTCACGCATTACACTACTTACATATGGGGGTACGCCAATCTTGGAGAAAATGTTGAGCAGTAAGGATCCGTCGAGGCTCCCAAACGTATTGGTGGAATCGAGAAACATAGGCCGTACGCTCTTGCAATTAACTAAGGCGAACGCGATGAAATGCACCAAATACGAAACGGCGTCCAATGTAACGCGATATTTGGTTCCTTCGACACGCATATGCGTCCCCTTCTTTTCATTTTGTCAGGGAGAGCAAAATCTCCCAGGAAAATTCAGTGATTCAATGGAAAAACGATTCATACCAATGATGTACGAAAGGAACATTAAGACGTTTCAGGAATGTTCGCATCAGGAAGATTCAGGTCTACACGACGCATGCACCTACCTCCCCAATGGCTAGCGGAATTGATCTACCAATTAGGACAGCTAACCTAGCTGTTCTGCTACGTGGATCTTCCCTGGTTGACTTATAAAAACGTCCGTTGATTTCAGTACTTGTATCGTTTCGGTAGCTGGTTCCGCAACACGCTTTTGCCTCCAAGCGTTGGCTTCTGATTTTCGGCTGGGGTTCGGAGCTAGCAGATAATGAATTCAGTTCAACCGGAATCGCGCAGACTGGTAGATCATAACAAATGGCAACGGAGGCGAGTTCAGCTAGGTGAACAGGTCCTTGTACAGCTTGTAGCAAAATTCGAAAGTGACCAGGGCTCCGGTGATGTATAGAAATCCCGAGCTGTTGGCAATGTGGTCCATCGATTGAGAACTACAAACGGGACATCAATAAGTTGCAAATTAGTGTACTCGTCCATCACAGTTCACAAACACTATCGCCAGTTTGTTGTAACGTCCTCGCTAGGATATGTCACCATCAGTCGGAACAACCATTTGGCTTCTGTGGACTGTCTTGCGCGGATACATGGCTGATCCGATTCGGATGGAGGCGCACAGAGTAAATCCTTTAACGGCTCTTCCTCACTGTAGCAACACTAACCCGGACACTAAACGACCTCAGCGAAGCGCTTTTACAGTTCAAGCCAAAGAGGAACATGATCTGCACAGCCTGGTATGTATAGCACGAGTAGCCACGTTATCGGGAGGGCGGCGTAATTATCAAGTGAAAATGGATAGATTACAAGGGAGTAATAGTGGGATTTAAATGGTATAAGAGAGTATTCATTACTTCCCCACAGACGCGAGGAAGAGCACCGTGCAGCCGTTTCGAGAATGCATACACAGACCAAACTGCTTACAATACCATAAGTTAATGGACGTTTTAAGTTTGGCAACTTCGTCGCTTGGTGAGGGCGTTACCTTATCCTCTGCAAGTCAGTGGAGAGTGAGCGGCGCTATATCACATCTAGTAACTTAATCAAGACGGTCGTTGCCTTCCACCGTAGCTCAGTAGTTTCAACCACACACAGGCAACAGTCGAATTGCGGGTTCGAGTCCAGTACGAGGGTTAGATGGAGTGCGCACTGCTGACGAGTTCCGAGTGGATGTAATGGTCGTACAGGGCTTTTCCGGGCGTGTGGTGGCTGTCTAACTGAGCCTGGATGTGATGAATCACTACTGAAATTCCGATTATTAAAGTGCCAGGCCATTCGTCTGGAAGATTCCGGAGTACATCTCCAGGATGAACGGAGATCCTCTAATGGAAGCAAGCGCAGCAGTGCTACAGTTTAGTGATCCAATGCATACAGGAAATACATGGAGATGTTTAGCAGTAATGACTAGCACCACCACCTGACAGGGTGACATCAGGCATTGTGGCTTGTGTCGACCAGCGGCAGCTCGTCATGAAGCGAAACTGGAATAGGGGTTGGTACAAGTAGATATAAATAGCTGAACAGTGACAGAAAGGGTTGTAGAACGATACAAGTATGCGGAACTGAAAGTGAGCTAAGGGGACAGGAGATATCTGTGCTGTAATTTTACGAACAAGTGTCCCTTCAGGTGTGCGCACCATCCACTAATTACGAGAACCACACATTGGTGTATCATAGGCTAGGCAGCGGCAGAAAACGAGGACTCATGAAATAAAATCCGATTTACTGTGCACTGAGATCTCAACCCCATGAAACAGAAAGAAAACACTGTAAATGAGGCGGATCATCGTACATATATTCGCATTAGAAACAACAAGTCGCTCGGTCATGCGAGGAGACATGATGTGCTGGCATCTGCTGCGGGAGACATGGAACACATTGACAAGAGCAGACAGGTGTTGTGAGCGCAAGTGCGATAAGAAGGCACAGAACGCGAAGTGTTACGCGCATATCACAGACGGTCTGTCACATAAGCAACGAGAGAGGCTCTTCAACTTTGTGGCATTTCATTAACCGATTTCCAAACAAGGACGCTTCAATTCGGGCAGTAAGGGTTGGAAGGTACTATTCGTGATGTGGCTGTCATTCGATGTGCAGTTGGAGTCGGGTAGCAAAAGTTCATCCAGACAACTTCGTTTGAGCGAATGGGTGGGAAGTAGGTCTTCTGATGGATGTGCGTCTGAAGACTCAGCGCAAGGGATACACGAGGAATCTGAAGGACGAAAGAGAAGTGGATGAGAGTACATCAACCGGTATATAGAAAGGGGTGTTGTTAGACGCTATACATACATAATGGGGTTGGATTAATGTAAATGGGTCGTAGTCCGAACTTTGGATAAATTAACGAATGCTGACAATATAGGCAACAATGGGGAGCACCTAGTTGCTCACTTGATCTCCAAGACTTTCACGGGGTCACTGACACTTGGTATTCAGAAAGGAAGACAAACGAGCCCCAGAAAGTGGGGAAATAATCGCACTAGCAACGGGCTGCTGCGTACGGTGGTTTCGCATTGTCCGAAATGGACACGAATCGGATATTCGTTACCATCCTAAAGGTCCGTCTTAACATCCTCAATACAGTCCAAAATTAAATGTGGGTCCTGCAAAGTAACCGCACAGTGTGCGAAATTTGGGTGAGCACACAGGAAACACAATCCGCAGGGGCAGAACTTCCTGGAAAAGTACTACGCCCAGGTGCAAGTGGTCTGCTCTTCGGAGCATAACACTACATGACTGATGTCTGAGTTGTCGGTTCCAGTTTGTCAGCTCACTTATTTTGCGCAAATTTCTTACGCGGATCTACCAGATAATATGTTGACTGAGACGGTGACATTGCCACGATAGCAGGCGATTGATGATCGGGTGCGCACCATCGCAAAATACGGGCTGGGTCTTCAAGTGGCCAGACAGGGCAGCGGCTAATGAGAATTGCTAACCGAATGAAGTAGGTTATGAATCAAGATAGGCACCAACTTATGACATCTGCTTAAATTTGCGTAGCCAGAATTCATTGATCTATGTACGGCAATCGGTGGGATGTGAAGTGGAGAATGACATTTGTAGCGTGAAGCTTGCTAGCGGCCAAATGCATGGTTTCAGTTTCACCGGTGACCAAACGTAGTCTTTGCGCAACACAAACCCAGATTTCTCCCGCGACGGAGCTGTACGCTATCAGGCGCATCTCCAGGTTGCGGAATGCCTTTCTTGTGAAGTCAACGGTGAATAAGTCTTGTTTGCTTTGCAGGAGAGATGAATAAGCAGTCGCGGACAATCAGCGGCAGTGTCTCAGAGCGTAGGGAGTTCTGGGCTTGTCACCTGGTTCTCCATTAAATACCACAAGTGCTCGTACGGCGCTGTGTCAAAGCCAATGTGACCGCCTATAGGGTCATTGACCACTTACTTCTGTAACCAGAAGTGCATCTAAAGGAGGGCGGATGAACAACCTTGGTGGCCACCGGATTCTCTGTGAACTGCAACCGAACACAAAGGCGAATGAGCCACCTGGCTGTTAATGGTCTTCGTATTCGCCCTGATGGTTTGCAGGTCCGGTCATTAAGACCAAAGGCTCGGGGTAGGTCACTTAAAACAACCCTCATCCTCGGTCTGGGAAATAGGGAAGCTCACTGTCCACAACAACACATGGATCTTCGCATCCCGTCCCCTGACTCTCTTCCTCCGTTTTGTCGTTGTTACCCATGTGTTGTGGCACTGCCAAATGTTTAGTAAACAAGTGTCATATATATATATATATATATATATATATATATATCGTGTAGTATGCCCATTTTTATTACATATTGTAAGAAGAAACGCAAGCGGTACGCTTAAAGCGAACAATTGTTTTCGATTTATTCATCATCAGGCTTGGCCAGCCAGTAATAAAGATGCATCGGGCCTCACTCAGTGGTATCACATGCCTTCAGTCATTTAACCACATGACAGGTTACGTTAAGCATTTAAAAAATGTTTGTTCAATCAATAGTTACTCTCTGTTTACCCGTATGAACTCTTCTCAACGTATATTTCTGTACCAAGCCTGATGATGGATAAATCGAAAGCAATTGTTCGCTTTAAGCGTACCGTTTGCGTTTCTGCTTACTATATATATATATATATATATATATATATATACATATATACATATATATATATATATATATATATATATATATATAGTTATTTACCTGATTGCAGTTGCCATGAAAACTAGTAATAATGGGAAAAGGAAGCAAAATGTAAAGTAAAAGACAAGAGAGACTAGAGAAACAATGCTAGCGAAATTAAGCGGGTTGGAAAATGGACAGGTAGGTGCAAGCGACGTAGGGTATACGTGCTATCGATTCCGCGACTAAACCAGTTGATGTGACCGGTCGCAAGGTGTCTAACCAGGAGGGCGACATGTGCCATGCTAGCGTAGTTTCTCGGAGAACTGCTTAATGTCTCCGCTGTTACTGACTGGTCGCCCCCCCTCCCCTCCCCAACTATGTGCAACAACGGTAAACACTGCATATTATGAGTCACCTATAGATGACCTTTTGGGCTAAAGCATTCTAGTGCGACGGACATCACTGCTTAAATTCGAATGTGTGCTTGCTAACACTGAAAGCATCGAGAATGTCTTCGTAATGGAAATAGCTACAAGATATTGGATGGACGAATGGAACGCTTCTCCGTACAGTGCGATAGCAGGACCCAAGAGATAGAGCAAGTGAAAAGCATAAGCAGTACGCGGGTGCATCGTATTGACGATTCGCTTCCACGTGATCAATGGCAGCCACATATGGGCTAGGGAAACTGCGCGCTCAAACTCACGTATTGTGGAGTACAAGCCGGAAACTTGAAGCACTCGGCCACCGGCGAGCTCACAGAGTGACTTGTTGATGATTGAAACTGTGAGCGCTACCAATCAAGCGTCAACTAGCGACAACGCAAAACACTGTCAAAGGTGGTTCATTTTAAGCCTGACATTGCAACAATAGCAATTCAAACCAATATGCTTTGAGGCTTAACATCGTCATTGAAGACGAAAGCAATACAACAGAAGTAAGCATATTAGTGTTTCTACTTTCGCATTAGAACCCGTGAGATTGTGTCGTAGTCCGAACAGCACAGTGGGGAACCCAAAATGAGTCGCAAAACCAATGCTATCACATAGACTGGCGGTCCAGTGCTACAAGAGTAAGTCGGTGACCACAATGCCCCTGGTGTGATCCCCAGCACAGGTGACCCAGACCTAAAGAGTTCGTGGAGTGTAGCATGGAAAAACAGAGTACACAAAACTGGGAAGATTGTTTCGTCCCCCCGATGAGCAAGGCACATAGAAAGTGCTAAATGCACATGCAGGTGCCCGAAGGGGCAGGTACGTAAAACTGAGAACTGCAAGAACCGTTACAATAACTTGGTGCAGGCCGCAGGCGTGCAGCGAGCGAAATTTTTCACTAGCCGAGTGGTACATCGTTGGAATTTACTCCTATTGCACTGGTGGAACATTATATGATAGAAGCCTTTAGTAAAAGATGTCCGGATATTAATCAATCCACACTCTTGGGAATCGCATTGAGATTAGTGAGTGCTAACTAGTACCAAATAGCCCGTGGCCTGTAGGATATCATGAATAGCTTCATGAAGTTACGCGAAGTTGCTCTTACTGTGTTTTGTCTCTACAGAAGTCAAAAAGTTATGAAATCGAAGTGCCAGAGGCCCTTGCTTGTTTACCGGCACACGAAACGGGACGCACCTTAGGCGAAGATTAGTTTCGTCCCTGGAGACTGATCTGACCTTTGAAGTGCCTGTGAAGTTTCGCAAAACAAACTAGTCAATGGTTAGAGACCAAACAAGCTTGAAGTACCCGTCATTGAAATTTGAATTTGGGTATGCTCGATGGTCGAACGCTTAAAATTGGCGAATCAAGATAACGGGTTATAAAAATAAGATAATAAACGTACAGCAAAAATGAAACAGGTCATCTCTGGTTAACGGCATGTTTGCTGATCAATGGCTTGCCGCAGAACTGATCAAATCAGGTGGAAACCCGACAAAACTCGCCAGTAGACAAACATGGTCATCTATCTTCGAATGCGGCCGATGAAACTTAGCTTATGAGAATCCAGGTGACCAACATCGTGAGTTGATGCAATCGATGCAATCACGCCCTCGGCATGGAGTGATCTAGGTGTACTTTTTAAGTCAAATCATCTAACCATCCCATGGACCAGCTTTTGGGCTAGTGAAAAAACTTCCGAACGAGACTCTCCTTTGAGAGTATGCAATAGTGAAGCATTTCTTATCTCAGTTGGATGAACGAATGCGTTTTTGCACCAGTCAACAGAATATCGCTAAATTCACCATTTGCAAGTCAATCAAAACAAGTATGTGAAGATGGGGCTCTACGCGAAATTATAGCTCACTTTCTAGCAGACCAACCAACTGATGTCATCTCTCTTTGTGCACTTCAAGGGCCATGGGATCTGACTCTGAAGCAAGTGCACACGACAGTAGTGCTGTAGAGAATCTACGGCCATTTCGCTGGGATTCCAATGACAGCAGCGAGGTCTAACTGATAGCCCGCAGTATCTATGACTTCATAGTGACAGCTCTAACAACACAGGTGGAGGACCAGGGAGCGTTTTCCGCCAACCACAGAAGAATGAACGAAACAGGAAAACAAATAGCGTAATGTCGGAATATGATATGAAATATCACAACGCATTGTTTACAATACTGGCATTCATCCGCGTCACTTCTTTTTAATAAAATCGTAGCTACAATCAGCGTGATAGGCTGCCGCTGATTGACCAATCTGTGCACTCCTAGCCGTCCCACTGAGACACATTTTGGTTACAATGCGGGCACGGACAAAATCCTGGGTGTAGACCTATGTCTTCAGCACTGCACTATGCTTTAAAAATTGATATCTACTAGGCATGGACTATACTGGTGATCGGGAAAAATGCATTCACGCCACTGCAAATTATTTTTCTGAGTGGCTGAAAGTAGTCGGAAAAGTGTCTCAATGGGACGGTTAGGGGCACAAAAAGATCATCCCCGACAGCAGTAAGTAAGCACTTTGAATTGACACTTCGATGCCGCACAACCACAATGATGTACGGAACAAAGAATAGTAAGGGGGTATAAGGGGAACCTATACGGTTCACTGCCGTGTATACTAATGCATGCTGCATCTACCATGCTTCGGCGGCGTTTTACTTT